CGCAGGTAAGACACCTCCCCTGACACGCCTTCATTAACATATGTTAAACAGATGCAAATTACTTCCTGCATGTGTGAAGGACATGTTTGAGTGATCCCTGCGCGATCAGAAATGATTTCTAGAGTCAGGAAAATAATGAATTAAATATAATGTGAGTGTGAAAAAAAATCCTAAGCAAAAATAGGAATAAAATATGTTTGTCACGCAAAGAAAGAGTGATTGTGTGTCGGTGTGTGTGTGTGTGCGCAAACTGCTGTGTTGCGCAACCGGCTCATCCATCCATTCTGAGTCAGAAAATATTAACTTTGCGCACAAGTTTATTACCATAATTACTGTAAACACAGAGGAACTTAAATGTTTGGTAGAACATAGATCTTGTTTATTACATAGCTGATATGAAGAAACGAGTCTCTGCGCCTCAGTAGAGTTCACATGACGTGATGTGATGTTGGAGAGTCTCCACAAAGGCTGTGCACACCGCAGCCTTTGTGTGCAGTCTGTTTGTCTGTCAAACTTTTGCTCTCCTACTTACAGCATTTTCACAATTTGTAAAGTGTACTTCCACGTGTCATTTTGGAGAAATCTACAACAACGTAAACGCCAAGTATGAAACATCTCCACTGCCCGCGAGGGAGCGCGCGCTCCAGAGCGCGACCATAACTCAGCCTTTAGAATCACATGGATGAGACCATTCTGTTGGTCATGACTCTGCTTTGGGTGGACTGGACTGAGTCCTGATGGGTCTGCCAGCTCCCTCTGGAAAGCTCCTGTGGAACCCCAGTTCAATCGCTGCTGCTGCTGCACGTGCGGCGCACGCGGCTACTCGCTGTGTCGTGCTCTCAGAGCGCAGCAGTGCCAAACTAAAAAATGATTTTTCCTCAAAATGGCTTATGAGCCACTCGTCATCAGAAAATTCTATCTGTTTATAAATAAAAGCTCTGAGTGTTACACTATTTATTATATCCTCCAGTAAGGCTGAATCTGTTCCTGTTAAATGTATTTTTGGCGCAACTTTGTGCGTCTTTTATTTAACTGTGTCCATGTGGAAATAATAACTGTTAATCATGTGGATGTAATAACTGTTAATCATGTGGATGTCATAATTGTTAATCATGTGGATGTAATAACTGTTAATCATGTGGATGTAATAGCTGTTAATCATGTGGATGTAATAGCTGTTAATCATGTGGATGTAATAATTGTTAATCATGTGGATGTAATAATTGTTAATCATGTGGATGTAATAATTATTAATCATGTGGATGTAATAGCTGTTAATCATGTGGATGTAATAATTAATCATGTGGATGTAATAACTGTTAATCATGTGGATGTAATAATTGTTAATCATGTGGATGTAATAATTGTTAATCATGTGGACGTAATAATTGTTAATCATGTGGATGTAACAACT